ACCCCGTCGTAGGAGCGCCTGTCAAGGTCCCCAGCTGAAGCCTCCCCCCAAAGCCCAAGCCCCTCCTCCCCCCCCCCCGTCCTTTGTGTGCCAATAGCCTTCTCTTCCTTTTGATCATGTTGCCCTGGGCAGGTCTCGACAACTCCGGTGACGGCTGGAAATGAGCTTCCATCTTCGCAGGCTGCCCGAGCCGTGGATGTTTTAGGACTTAGGTTTGGGATGATTGGGGTGTGTTTTGGCTGCTTCGACGGACTCCTTCCTTTGCTGTTGCCTTCTCATGCCGTACTCATGCATGGACCTTGGCCTCGGATCTTCCTTGCATTGCTTGGTCAGGTCGATGATGCCTCCTCACCATTGGTGGCCCGGACCCTGGACAAGGGGTCTCTTCTTTGGCGTCCCCGAAAGCCTCCGGCCCCAAACCGAAACCCCGCCCGATCCCCCGAAGCTTGAAAGCCCAAGCCCCAAACCGTCGAAGCCCAAACTCCGAACCCAGGATCTGCTTCCCGATTCCAGTGGTGCTGTGGGGCCCTTGGAATGCCTGGGTTCACTGGTTCTGGGATCTTGGCCGTGCTCGCATGCAGGTCGCAACATCCACGGCTCCGGATGCTTTGGCTCAGGTGGCCGCTACCTTGGACCGTGGATCGTGCGCTGAGATGGCTTGGGTATCCCTCCCTTGTGCTTCAGGTACCTGATGAACTTCGTGATGTACCATTGGGGCAGGTGGCCGCTACCTTGGACTCGTTTGCTTTCACTGCTACTTTGGGTCGTCCAGTCGTGCTGCAGGTCCCATCTTCTGCCATTTCGACGTCATCGCGGTCGAGTGCTATCGTGCAGGGCTTGGATGCTCGCCGGTTACGTGAGTAGGACTTGGACCTCGTGCATGTGTGTCTCTCTGTGTGTGTGTGTGTGCAAAGTTGCCACAACGCCTCACTGTGTGCTGCCGCAGCATCTGGGGCTTTTCGATTGGTGCAAGCAGGTGATTAGATGGTGGTACATATGAATCCGAAGTATGTGACTCCTGACAACCGGGTGCGGCGCAGCCGTTCCTGGACTGTCGCAGATGGAAGCCCGGATCCTGTGCCCCCAGGTCTGGATAGGCGAGTACGTGCCAGAATCGGAGCCCCGGAGTCGTCATCATCGCTGCGACTGTCATCCGAGGCCCAGGGAGGTGAACCTGCAACACCGGGCTCTGGAAACATGGCATCCTCAGTGCTTCCACGGCTTTCGCCGACTTCAGGGACAGGGTCACCTGCGAAACGCCAAGAGTCACCCGCCCAAGGCCAGCCCATGCAAGACAGCCTTCAGGATGTTCCAGTAAGAAGGATTGCCCCGGTCATCATCGGCATCATCACCAGCCTATCCAGGACAGCCTTCAGGATGTTCCAGTAGGAAGGATTGCCCCGGTCATCATCGGCATCATCAGAGATCTGGGTGCCGAGTCTCCGAGAGGCGATCGCTTGACACCGATTTTCGGTCCCCCCACTGTACAAGACCAGAAGTCGCGATTGGGGGGCTCTCCGCGACTCAGGGGCCAAAAAGAGAGAGAGTCCTGTTGAAGTGCAGCCTAGGTCGGTGCATGTGGTTCGCTTGTATTGCTGCTTGGCTCCTTTATGCTCCTCTCAGGTGCTGCCACCTGCAGCGGTCCGTCCTGGCCCTGAACCCGTTGGTTGCTGAGACTATTGTACGTGGGGTTTCTGATGCGAAGCATGGCCTCTCCTGACTCTCTTGCACAGGCACATGGGGCTGATGCTCTGGAACCTTCGGCCATCCCGCTAGAGGCTGATGCTTGGAAGTGGTGCTCCTTATTTTTATCGATGCAGCTCCATATGGCCATCAGGCTTTGGAGGGTACGATCCTGTGCCTCCAGGTGGGCCCTGGGCAGTTTCCTGCTGAGCTGCTCTTTCGCTTTTGGCTCGGACAGGCGATGCATGCTCCGGAGGATCCACCCGCAGAGGCGGGTTTCACGCCTGGCCTTCCCACGACACTCCAGGAACATCGGCTGTTCATTTTAAGTTCTGAGCTTCCTGCCACGTCACCTGGAGGCTGTGGGAGCGATTGCTGTCATTCCTGCTAGAGCTCAACCCTCAGACGATACTGCCACCCAATGTGTATGTCTACTCCCTGAGACCGTGCTTCAGGGGAATGCCTGGACTGTTGATCCGTGCTTGACAGAGCAACGAACACAGATGACAAAGAAGGACCGCAGCACCTGTCAGCCTTTGCTTGAGCTACAGCAGTTCCAGAAGATCCCGGTCTGAGGAGCCGGAGCCCATGCCCATGATGGAGAAGCCACCGCTCAAGGACGAGGATTCTCCGCTTCAAGAGAGATCAGCTTCAGTATAAGTATCCAAAACACACCCAGGACCGCCGCCAGCCGGAGCCCATGCCCATCATGGAGAAGCCGCCGGTGAAGGACGAGGACTTCCCGCTGCGAAAGAGCTCGGCTTCAGTAAGCTTTGTTGGGCATCCAAAGCACACCTCCGATTCGCAAGGACCGCCGCCAGCCGGAGCCCATGCCCATCATGGATAAGCCCTCGGTGAAGGACGAGGACTTCCCGTAAGCGTTGTCTGGCATCCAAAGCACACCTCCGACTCGCAAGGACCGCAGCAGCCGGCCGAAGCCCATGCCCATCATGGAGAAGCCGTCGGTGAAGGCTGAGGACTTCCCGCTGCGAAAGAGATCGGCTTCAGTAAGCTTTGTTGGGCATCCAAGTGATTCCCCAGGACCAACACCAACCACCTGGCCATAGCTGCAAACCGGGCTTGGGAAGCATGTGCGGGCGATTCGCTGGGGGAAACCTCGGTGATTGCTGGGAGAAGGCCGGGGCAGGGAGGAAAGTGGAGACTCGGAGGTCGGGACGTGGCCGTCGCACCCATGGTTGCGAGCTTTTCTGGGGGTGGAGCCCCTGCTTTCTCCACTTCTCGTGGTGCTGGGGGATTGGTCCGGGATGTTGAGGCGATTCCGGGATTGCTGGGAGAAGGTCGGGGCAGGGAGGAAAGTGGTGATTCGGGGGTCGGGACGTGGCCGTCGCACCGATGGTTGCGAGCTTTTCTGTGGGTGGAGCCCCTGCTTTCTCCACTTCTCGTGGTGTTGGGTGGCTTGGGCGATTTGCTTCGGGAAGCCTCGGGGAATTGTCTGGAAAAGGCCCGGCAGGGAGGAAAGTGGAGATTCGGAGGTGATGGTTCCTAGCTTTACTGGGAATGGAGCCCCTGCTTTCTCCACTTTTCGTGGTGTTGGGAGGCATGCTGGGCATTGGTTCAGGATGTTCGGGCCATGTCGGGCCATTTGCTTCCGGAAACCTCGGAATTGTAGGGGAAGGCCGGGGCAGGGTGGAAAGTGGAGACTCGGAGGTCGGGACGTGGCCGTACCCATGGTTGCGAGCTTTTCTGGGGTGGAGCCCCTGCTTTCTCCACTTTTCGTGGTGTTGGGAGGCATGGGGATTGGTCCGGGATGTTTGGGCGATTTGCTTCGGGAAACCTCGGGGAATTGTCTGGAGAAGGCCCGGCAGGGAGGAAAGTGGAGATTCGGAGGTCGGGGCGTGGCCGTGGCACCGATGGTTGCTAGCTTTTCTGGGGGTGGAGCCCCTGCTTTCTCCACTTCTCGTGGTGTTGGGAGGCATGCTGGGCATTGGTCCGGGATGTTGAGGCGATTTCGGGCGGTTTGCTTCGGGAAACCTCGAAGTTGCTGGGAGAAGGCCGGGGCAGGGAGGAAAGTGGAGATTCGGGGGTCGGGACGTGGCCGATGCCTGCGAGCCTTTCTGTGGGTGGAGCCCCTGCTTTCTCCACTTCTCGTGGTGTTGGGAGGCATGCTGGGGATCGGTCCGGGTCGGTGATCGCTGGGGGAAGGCCGGGGCAGGGAGAAAAGTGGAGATTCGGGGTTCGGGACGTGGCCGTCGCACCGATGCCTGCGAGCTTTTCTGTGGGTGGAGCCCCTGCTTTCTCCACTTCTCGTGGTGTTGGGAGGCATGCTGGGGATCGGTCCGGGATGTTCTGGCGATTTGCTTCCTGAAACCTCGGTGATCGCTGGGGGAAGGCCGGGGCAGGGAGGAAAGTGGAGATTCGGGGGGACGTGGCCGTCGCACCGACTTTTCTGTGGGTGGAGCCTCTGCTTTGACCCCGGTTTCCTGACCTGTGAGGCCATTCCAGCATCCGTGAGACGGCCTTGGCAGCACTTCTACCAACGATGCCGGGCATGTGCTGAGTCGGCATTCTTGACAAACCTGCCACAACAGTCTGCGAAAGCTGCCTTTGACTTTCTCAGCCCCAGCACAAAGCTGGAGTACAGTGCAGTTGCTTGGGAGGAGGCTGCAAGGTACCTCTACTACTTCGAGATCATGGCTTCCGAGATTAAGCCTGACCTGTGGTTGACCCTGTCCGAGAGCCAGCAGGAGGACTTCACGCCCTATGACGTCGAGGGCTTCCTGAGGTCGCAAGTGGACAAGGTCAGGGAGCTGAAGAGTGAGTTTCGGTTCCAGCTTCAGGAGTCAGCTTCTCCTGATTTGGCGACGGCCCCATCCGTTGCCCAGCATCTGCTGAAAGTGCTGTGTGAGAAGCATCCCTTGGTGCTTCTTGATTCCTTGGCTGATATACGGGCCTTCTATGGCTTGGCCAAGAAGGAACAGGGCATCAAAGCGGAACTGCCTGCCTCGGAACTGTCTCTGGAGTCATGCAAGGACATCGAGAGGGCCTTAGTGAGGCCCTACCGTGCAGAGAACCTGCAGTATGGCCACCGGAGTCATTGGGGCTCCCTTCTGCACTACTTGGTCTGGCTAGCCAAGGACAACTTCGGTGACGGCTGGCCGAACAAGGTCATCATTGCTACCTCCTCCACCCTAGACCTGTTGGATGTCATGAAGCTACAGCCCACAGCACAGGGCATCGGTGTTGTTCTGAGCACGGACATGCACTGGAGCCTCTTGTGCATTCGTAGGGGCACGGTCGCAGCCTACCTTTACGACGGTCTCGGCTGCAAGAAGACGTGAGAACTGGCTGAAGCAGTCATGTCGCATGTGAACCAGCGCCAACAGTGTGCTGCTGCTGCTTTGCGAGGTGACTTTCCAAAGCAGCAGGACTCCTGGAGCTGCGGTCATCGGCTGGTGCTCGCCTTCCAGTACCTTCTCAGCAGCCTCGTTGACGGTTGCTGGCCTCCTGCCATGCCAGCGAGCGAGTTTTCCGATGAGGCCATCCGCGACTTCTGCGATGGCCCAGAAGAGCGTGAGGAGCCTGAAGATGAGGAGGATCGTCCTCTGGTCAAGAAGCCACGTCTGGATAGCAGCGGTGCAGCTGCAGCTCCCAAGCCAGCGGCGGCAGAATCCAAGGCAGATGGCAACCCTGCCCCACAGAAGCGACGAAAGCTCAGCCAGAAGGAGCAAGACGAGGTGGATGCCCAGAAAGGGCGGGAACTTTTTACTGCAAAGAAGATGTCTTATGAGAAGCACTTCCAGTCGGCCCATCACTCCGAGAAACAACCCGTGGGCAAAGGGCACTGGCGGGTCTTTCTTCTGGCTCTGGCTCGCGACCAGCGCCTAACATGCAAGACGTGCTCCTCCCTGAGAGACATGGTGCTGCTGCCGGAGCCTTCCGAGTCTTCGCAGCGGAGCCAGCAGCTTGTGCCGCAGGACACCGAGACGGCCTACTCTGGAAAAGGCAGGCCTCGCACTGGGCAGGACGGCAAGCGGCTGCAGCCATGGCTTGAGCAGCATCGCCCTGGGATCTACAGGCCGGTGCGAGGCAGTTGGTTCTTCTGCGAGTGGTGTCAGAAGGAGGTTAATTTTCACAGACCAGGGCTCTCTGGCTTGAAGTACCTCCGGGATCACGAGAACAGCAAGGGGCACCAGGATCCGGCATTGCCTCGCTGCAGTGTAGTGGCGGCTGTTGCAGGGAAGGATTGTCAAGGCATTCTTGTTGGCTCTGGACAATGCGACGGGCTAGACCGCCTTGAGGACTCTCTCAGGGTCTGGGTGTCCCATGGGCTGATCCAGTGCACGACCACTGATCCTCTGGATCCGGCATACAGCTTCCAGGTCTCCTGGCTTGAGAACCAGCTAGTGGTCAAGAGCCGCTACTGCAAGCCTGCCGAGGGCTCGCCATGCAAGCACTGCACCAAGGTAGCTGGGTCACGGAACCTGGCTAAGGAGATTATCCACTGGTCTTCTCGCATTGCCATGGTCGAGTACTGCAAAGTCATCACCCTTGGCACGGACCAGGAGAAGCGACTTGCCTGCGATGCCCTGGTACAGAAGGACTGCTACCTCACGAAGGAAGGCCGGCGGGACATCGACACCCTCCTCGCCATCGACAACGACATCGCAGCGGTGGGTCACGTCAAAAGGATCCTCGAGAGCATCCCTAAGAGCAGGCTCACCACACGTCTGAGCAGTTGGATGGCTGTGCACGTCCGGACCTTGTTGCGATCGGGGCCGGCTCTTCCGCAAGAACGTGCTTCGCTGCGGATCCTGAGCGAAAGCTTCGCCGAGAGCATCCTTTCGGGCGAGGTGCTGAGGGAGGACGTGTGCTTGGCCAGCAAAGTGCTGGCCGGGGACCTCACTTCGGACTCTGTAGTCCGCTGCTTGATCCACTCCTTCTTGCAAAAGCAAGACAAGGTGCGACGAGGGGTGGCCGACAGGCTATGCACCTCAAAGCATGTAGACGAACACACCATGCAAGAAATCCTTTGCACGCTGGGCAACTCGCGGGAAACTCGGCAGCTCTTAGCCCACTTCGGAGTCACTTTGGGTGGCAAGGTATCGGTCCAGTTCGAGAACTCCCTCCTGCCAAATTTCTTTGTCCCCAATCGCTCCTTGGACACCATGCGGTCGGCGGTGCAAGCCCTTCTACCTTCTACCACTGCTCGGATCCTCGGTAGGTGGGGGTTGTTCAACAAGCTTCAGCAACGAAACCTTGCCCCGAGTGCCCCAACCATTGCAGGAACCAGATCCTGGTTCCTGGCTGTCGATGAAACATATTGGCGAGCTAATTGGGAGCTGATTTCAGGCTTGCGGGGCGAGATGGAGAACGGTAGGGCCACGGTGGGAGGACATTGGAGTCCGGATGCTGCAAAGGACCCCTTAACTTCCCAAGCCTGTGTATAGGTTTCGGCTAGTTTCGAAGGGCTAAATGAGGTGGGGCTTCGCAGGACTTCCATTGCTTGCCGGATGTGGGTGTGCCAGACGACTCGAACCTGTCCAAGATGACTTTGGACATCATCGCCTGCTGCTCCTACAGTTTGCGGCAGCCCTGGCATCTGGCCATGATTCCTATGCCACAGGGCCAGAACCAGAAGGGCATCATGCAATTCCGGATACTGGATATGGTGTTGCACTGCATCTCCCAAGAGACCCCCCACCTTCCGATAGGCATCGCGACCGATGCAGGAGCCTGCAACAAGCTGACGCAAGACTTCCTACTTGGCGAGGAAGTGCCAAAGGCCGTGATCGAGGACACTCGCTTCTTCTCCAGATGCGAATCCCACAATCTCGACTTCCTGCAGTATGTCACCTGGGGCTACAGGTCCATCGACGGTCGGCCGCTGGTGGGCAGTCTGGACGCTCTCCACACTCTCAAACGCTACAGCTATCACCATAATAGCTGTCAACGAACCATATATTGGGGGTCCTATTTCACGGACCTTTCCGCCATGCTCGCGGAGGGACTCCCGGTCAAAGCTTATGCATTGGCAGATGTGCAGAGCGACGATGCCTCGTTCCAACGACTGAACCCGCGGTACTTGCAGGATTCCTGGTCCGAGGTAGGCGCCCATGTGTATGTCATGATTTCGTGCCTGATTTCCCTCTGCACGGAAGGGTCGGAGAAGATCAGCTTGCCAGGCCGGTTCAGGGCAGCTACTTGTGCCTACGGCATGCTGCTGCTTGGCCTTTGGGCAGTCCGCCGAAGGTTCGACAAAGAGTGGACGCGATGGTACCTTCCGATCCAGACACTGCGCCATCTGGCAGCCATCTGCACACAGCAGATGGCTTTGTGCATTGTGGTGCCTGACACATGCACAGTTCTGGGCAACAAGTTCCAGGAGAAGGTGGCTGAGTATCATTATGGATCTCTGAAAGCCCCTTACAGGGGGGTGCCGAGCATCCGGGACGCCATCGTCGGGGGTCAGTTGCTGCGCACCAAGCAACTCAAGAATCGTCAGCTGCCGCAACCTGGGAAGCCTTGTGGACGGCTCACCAAAGCACAGGCCCAAGCCTTGTCCAAGGAGTGCTGGAGTGCAGTCTTCACATTCC